CATATAAGTAGTCAACTTATAAAAACACTTATCTTTTTAAATATAATATATATGTAATAAAATATAGGACATTCCATAGGAAATTTTTTTTTGAGGTAAAAAGAAGTTTTAAAAAGTAGCATTATAGCATTACTGAGATGCATACGAATTTTGAAAATACCTATTTACTTTTTGTCATTAGGTGACGTTCTGAGTGACTGTCTCTGAGTAAACGACTTATAAATATGAGGGTTTCAAAACGATTACTGTGTAGATCGCAAATGTTTAATTAATGTAATGCAATATGCTTTGATATCATTCTTGACATGTACGCAAAATTTTATCCCGTGGGTTATCGCAAATTTTCAGTCCTCTGGGAAACCTCGGATCTACTAATTTCGGAAGTAAGCAAATAAAAAAATATATTTCTAGTTTTTCAATCATCTGGTTAGCCCAAAAAGTTCTATCTCGTGGAATCTAAAACATTAAACATTAATTAAATAAATTTGACTTTAGATGTTTAAATCTTTCAGTACCTAATACTTAGTACATTATATACCTAGGTTAAGAAATAAATTATTATGAACTGAGCCTCAAAATATAATGTGCGAATTTTATAATTTCACTTTTCAAGTGATTTTTTTATCACTAATATTAAAAATTATACATATGTTATTAGGTTTGATCATAATGTTAGTAAGTCCAAATTATTATAATATATGTCACCCTACATCATTATAGGTATATACTAAGCTAGGAATTTTTATCAAGGATAATATACCAAGACCTTTATATATAGTTAGCTATTTTTGTTGCGTCTAAATCTCGAGAATATTTTAATGACAATTTGATGAGACATAATTTTGGCTGATAAGAGCTCGAAAGCTTAAGCTTGAGGTTTTTTATTATGTAAGAATCATTGCCAAAATGATGTCGAATTAAATTGTGTAATATTTGAGAAATTTAGCCACAAAAAAAAATAACAGAATATTAATCAAGGTCGTGTTATATTTGAGACGAATATTTTACTAGACCAAATATTGACTAATATATTATACATTAGATAGTCTTTCCTGTAGCTAAATAAAATCTTCTGAATTATTCTTGACATCAATTTCCATTTATCTAGCAGTAACATAATTGGAGTCTGAAGTATATTTATTAGACCTTATACGTACGTATAAATTACTGTTTAGTAGTTTTTGTAAAGTCACTTGGATTATTATAAACCAGAAATAAAAAAAGGCTTATAAAGAACCGAGAAAATACGCCAAAATACTAATAAATAAAGTAAAATAGGGTGGAAGAAAACTAAAGAACAAAACAAAATTTGCAAAGGCATACTTAAAGACAGTATTGGAAGATGAAGAATACAAACAGACATGGATAGATTACTTTAAGGATTTAATAATCGATCTGGAGTTGTAGGAAAAGGACATAATAGAGGAAGAGGAAACAGAAGAAATTAAAATGATAGCTAATACAACATAGAGAAAAAAATTACAACGGAAAGTCACCGAGAATAGATGGAATTAACATAAAAACTCATTAAACATGAAGGCAACAAAAAGAAAGACAATTATCTCTAATTAAGAAAATCTGGAAATAACAATAAAGGTGCAAATAAAGGCAAGATGAGAACAGGGGGAGAACGAGTCATTGCAAAAGCAGATGATATATTGGTAAATACAAAAACAAAAAAATCGTGGAAAACCTCTTGAACGAAATTATAGAAAAAGAAACAATTATGAGACCGTAGCTAAACAAAAAAAATAAAAATGAGGTGAGACGAAAAAGCAACATCGAAAAGCTGGAGCTAGAACTGGAGACAGGAAACTTGAAATAGCAGAAAAAATAATCCCGGAAATCCTTGGCCATTCCATGGTAATACCCTAAATTTCCAGGCAGTTTCAACAATATTTCTCAATCCCTTAAATTAGATTAAGTAACACAGTATTAAAACACATTTGACAGTTTTCTTTTTAACTGTGCATAAGGGTCATTAAAATAACGAACTTTTTTAAATAACTTTTTCAAGAAAACTCTAAAATAAGAAACTTACATTAATTTATTTTAAAATTTATCCAATACGATCCTGTCTTAAATAATGTTTAGAACTTTCTTCGAAAAATGATGATCGTATCTTTAAGTTGTACTGCTTGAACACGTTGAACGTGAAAGGAATAAAATTGATGTTCCGCAATGTTATCCACATTTTTCTTTGACTTACTCTCACCTGATCTGCAATCACCCTCGTGCTTGTTGTTTGATCTTCCTCAATAACATTAATCTTCTAAACGTATTTTCAATTTACCGTATAGAACAATTTAAATTTACTACTTTAAATAAACACGTTACTGAAATCTCAAACGACTGAATTACATACAATAACCGATATACAACGAATTTTATGCATTGTTAAAAATAGTATCAACTGAGATTTCACCCAATACAATAAGTGATGTATTTAAAATAAGTGATATATTAGATGACTATATTATTTTAATATATTGTATCTTTATACCATTAGGGTATTCAAGGTTTACTTATAATAACTTAAAAAAGCCAATTGAATTTTTTAAAGTCGTTTTATACTTAGGTATAATTAACCGAATATTATTTATAATCCAAAAATTAGAGCTATTCCAAAGATATATTCCCCATTGAAACTAACTTTACTGTTTTTGTCTATTTTAATTTAATGACATCCTTTTTTTTATATCTATATATTTAAAAAAAAATATTTAAGTTGCTACTTTACTTACTGTATCATGAACTGTTGTTATCAAACTGATATTTTATAAATGTTCTCGTATTGTTTAACCAAAAGTAATTTTTTACTAAAAGAAGTTTCTGTTAATGGAGCAACGAAATCCTGAAACCACTGGTGAAAAAATCTTCAACCTTATACCAACCAACACAAGAACAAGAAGTAGATGGCACGCGCTAAACTGGCGTAACTAACATGATGGACTTGACATTACTGTCAATCATTCCTTTTATTGAACAACACCTGGTTATGTGGACGCTTTGTTACAACAAGGAAGTGATACACAATCGAATTCCAATACAGCCATTATGGATACGTATTCAAATCGCTAGATTTTTTAAACAATATTAATTATTAGAAGAGTATGCGGGTACGGGGTGTGGTTAAAAGAAGTTACCATGTTGTAATCTTGAGTACCTATTCTTTTTATTTTTAAGTTACTTATGGGTACCTCCGTTAAAAGTAATTTAAGGTGTGTTAATATCAGGACCGAATTTGGGGTGTAAGATAAGATTGCAGGAACAAGAAAATTAAGTACTGTAAACTGGGAGACTTGTAGATCTTAACTAAATATTAAGAAATGTTAAATATAATTTTCCTGTAAACGGCCCAGTACCTAATTTAAAATTTAAAAATAACTATTTATTTAATTTAAACTTGAGTTTTTTTGATTTCTGGTTACACGTTTTGAAACCTCTGGTTCTGAGTTTACCTTCAATTGTTTTTTTGTTTCTAATTGTGACGACTGGTTTTCTTTAGAGGTAGAGTTTTTTTTGTTGTTTTTTAATGTTTCTTTTGCTTTAAGCTTGTAACTCTAAGCTAATTTTAGATTATGACCTAGTACTTTTTTACCTTGATAGTCGTCTGTTTGAGTTAGATCGTAAGCAAAGAACAATTTACTTTTTTTTAAATTTTAGAATTTCCTAATATCTCAGTTTTTAAAATTTAACTCACGCTTTAAATGATTAGTGGTCAGTCTGTTGCTAGTTTCAAGTCGTTAAATTTGCAGTCAAGGTTTAGTTGATTTTTCACTATATCTATAAGTTTCACTATATCTTGCTGGTTGTCCTCTTCTTCAAGACCATATAGTATTATATTATATCATTTTGGTTTCGTTCAACTATCAGAAGCTTATTTTTTAGTTGCTGATTTTCTTCTTGTAGTTTATTGTTTTCTTTTTTAATTTCAGAAAGGTCTCTATTGAAATTGTCTTTGAGTTCTTTTATTTCTAAAAGGTTTCTTTTAGCTCTGTATTTTTCTTGTTAATTTCAAATATTTGTATCCTGGTTTGATTCATTTACTCTCTTAAAAGGTTATTAATTTTTTGCATTGCTAACTTCTTCTTTTCCCATTTGGTAAAATTAAATTTCAAATTAATTTATTTAAGCTCCCAGACTATTTCACCAATGTTTTTATGGTAAATACTGTTATACATTGTTGGTTAAAATTTATATAAATATTTATCTTCGAATCAGAACTAGCTTATCAAGGATCTTTTATTTGTTATTTTGTTTACAAATTATAAATTTCGTCACTAAATAAACTCTGCAAAAATTTCACAAAAATTGGAGCAATATCGTCCCCGTTGGGAACATATGCTCAAGATAATTAACTACAAATACTAGAGTAGTACTCTTTTTTTAAATATTCCCTAGATGAAGACTGGATAAGAATTTTTGATTTCAGTCCAGCCGTTTGCGCAGAGTTCTCAAAAATAAATAGTTCGGGAGTAAGTAAAAACTGATCATCAAAAGATCGAATTAATTATAATAATAATAATTTATTTACCAAAAATAATATAAATCAATGTATAATGTATATGAATGTAAATTCTTTCAAAATAAATAAGCAGAAACACATTTTTGGTTATTGGGCCAACATACCAATTTAAAGCCTTATTCTAATTTTTTACAAGAAAATTTAAATATCCTCAATTTCTTGACCTAATATGAGATCGAGCCACAAACTTCTGTCACAGGGCCTAAAAATTTGGTCATTATTTTTAACGTTTTTGTCACAACTTTGTTATTAAAAATACAATATTTATTTGTATAATCAATTAATTTAGAAATACGTATTAATGAGTTACTCTAAACATTATACCGATAATCTTAATAGAAAATAATAATTAATAATTTGACCATTAAAGATAACGCTCTTTAATTTTGATTATTAAAATACAGGGAATTTACATAAAAAAAAATCGTATATAAACGCAAATCTCATTTAACACATTCATTTTAGTAAAAACATGCTGTTCAAACGCTTTTTAATTTTGTTGTGTCTTCCTTTTTGTTTTTCAAAATCAGTGGATGTAACTTTTAAGAGAGTTACGTTTAGAGGATACAGTATTTTTAAAGAAATATATAATGGCACCATTACATCCGGAAATCGTCTTAAGGATTTTTTACCAAATTTTATTAATGATGCCGTTGAAATAAAATACGAGAATATTTCAATTATTTATAAGGATTCGTTGGCAGATCTGGGAAATTTATATGAACTCTCGATTGAATTTTGTCACATAGAGGAAATACGACCTGGAGCAATCAGTAATTCGTCCATGTTGAGGAAGTTATCTTTTAAAGGTAAAAATTTATTAATATTTCAATACTATCATATTAATCATATTGATAAGAAGAAAATAATACACTAAAAATCATGAACCTTAGTTTAAATCCAAGAAAGGTTATAAGTTAGGGAAAAGTAATAATTGATAGAGACTGATGTTACTTACCTTAAAGGTACAGATACATGCCACAGCTGCAAACGGCCGAGGCAAGATACTGTTCTTACTTAACTTTAAATATTCTTTATTACTATTTACAAATATGACTATTGGTGGCATAGATGTTTTATTTTTTGGGGTTCTTATTCATCCTGGGTGGATTTTTGCTTTTATTCTTAGCGACAATGCTCTCTATGGTTTTTTCAGGCCGCATCACAGTTTTCGATGTATTTTTATTAACCTTGGAGCAGGTACACTTTTACTGGTAATACGGTCAATATCCTCTTCTTATATGGTCTTAGATTCATTTGTGAGTGACTGGAACTTGTTGTTTGTCTTAGTAAGGTTTTGTTTTTTCTCTAAGCAGCATATGAAAATTTTTGCTAAATTTCCAAGGAGTCTGGAATGGGGATTGTTCACTTGCTGAGAGTTGTCAGAGAAAATTTGCGACGGATCCGTGCAAACAGAGCCTAGGCAAGTTCCAGGTAAACTGGGCGTTACTGTTCTAATGAAATTAAATAAGGTGCCGTTTAATGCACAAGACAGCAGCACTGGCTTAATAAGTGTCTCCTCTCATTTAATTTCATCAGAACGGTAGTGTCTCTGCATCTTGTCTTGGCCGCTTGAAGCTGAATCATGTTTCTGCAGCCACAATCGAGAGAGTACCTAAACACTAAGACATTTAAAAATAAAGATTTTTTAAATCATCTTGGTGTCGAGAAAATCAAGGTAAAGGGGAGGGAAACTACATCGACAGTCTGCATACCTCTTTGTCTTTCCTAGTTGTTTGTTCTTTTTGGTGTTTTGGTTGGACTGTCACTGCATAACTATTGCCAGAGACAGTGTAAACTGTCAGTGTAATAAGTTTTGTTATTTTTGAGCATCCTATATAGTTTGCCAGATAGTCTCTTCAGCAGTTCAAACAAGTAATTTTAACCTCTTCTGACCTAAGACTTACTTAAGCTCTGTGGTTTCCACCGTATCTTACAAATTTAATGTTCATGGGACAGTTTGACCGGGCATATACCTCAACTTCTCTTGCATTGTTTTGGTTATGTTAGTGGTCTTATGGTGCGTTGACACGTTGCTAGTGTGCTCGGCCGAGCTGACTAGGATGCCTGCTCGGCTGGTACTCGGTAGTCGGTCGTCTTTCAACTTTCAGCGTGCGAGTTCCATGCTAGTACTCGTAAACATGGCAAACAAAAGATGGACAGAAGCGCAATCTATAAAATTTGTGGATTTATATGAAGAAGCAGAATGTCTATGGAATTTTTGACATGCTCTCTATAAAAATAAAGAAGCAAGAGACACAGCCTCAAGAAATTTGATTTCCCAACTGAATTTACTGTGCTGAATGAATTTCCAGTCGCCAAATAACGCAGTGTAATTTGCAATTTTATTATGGGCTTCAAAGCAGCTCTCATTGACGTATCTTGCTTTTTAATGTAGTTTTTCACCATTGACAATAGTTTTTCAAACTGATTTATCGTTAACCTTAAGTGATTTCTGAATATCTCTGGATCCTCTAAAGCCACTTCTCTTAAAAACGTTCCAAAAGCACCAAACTTGTTACGCCGCTTTATCCACTCTAGAATCCACATTCGCCTGGGACGTCGCTTTTTTATAACTTGCAATTGGTTTAATTCGTTTATTAGAATCTGTGCAACAATAGCTATACCAGTACGCACAATTTCCGCCATTTTGCATTTTACTAAAACCAAGCTGGTAAAATTGTGTGTGTGAACAGAACTCGTGCGCGAGTTCGCTCGCATCGAGCGGTCTCGGCCGAGTACACTATCATGGTCTCAACGCACCTTTAGTGATTTTATCTTATCACTAATCCCTGGAATTTATTGAATTCCATCACAAGGTCTTTCTCCATTTGACCAATGTCTATAAGAAGTAGCTTCATTTCTAGATAAAATTCTCTGTGGTACATGATTTTGAGTGTTTGATGTTGTTATTAACTAATTATTTAACTATGTTCTTGCAGGTAACGATATAAAAAGCATCGAATTCGGAGTTTTCAACAATCTCAACCTATATACCCTAGACCTGAGTTCAAATCTAATTTCAAACGTAAACGCTCATGCATTTGATGACATGCCCAAATTACTCAATATTAAACTAGATGATAACCATATCCAGATATGGAACCCAGAATGGTTTAAAAACACACATTCTCTATCAAGGATTTCAATGCAGAATAACATAATAGAAGAATTACCAGCCAATGCTTTTAAAAACATAAGAAGCGTTAAAAAATATGGAAATCCCATTATCAATTTCGTATTTGACAACAATAAAATCAAATACATAGATCCAAAAGCTTTTTCGGGTTTGGAGAAGATTAGAAACTTGTGGCTCGATAATAATTTACTAGAAGACTTTAATGAAAATGTATTAAATGGCATTACCATTGATTCTTTAAGATTGAACAATAACAAAATAAAATGTTTCAAAGGTAATCTAGCTAAAATTTTAAAAGCAAATATGAACGTCATTGATTCTAATCCATTTGAATGTGATTGCTTGCAAAATATTAAAGAATGGTCGAAAGGAAATAAAAGAGTGGAAATTTTCATTGCTGAACTAAATTGTTTAACCGAGGCATTTAATAACAATATGGCAAACTTGAAAAAAATATTGAAGGATTTAAACGAGAATACGCAAAAAACTAAAAATGGTAAAATGGAGATTGCTGACACCGAATTTGTTCTTGTCAAAAACAACCATAGAATTAAAATAAATTTTTAATAAATTTAGTTAACAATTTTATAGATTCTTATTATTTTTGTTATGTTTATTTATACAGAGTGTTCCATAAAGTTGGATACATATGGGATTCTTTTTAATACTACGATTGGCCAAAAACAACCTCTATTTATTTAAAAACTTAAAATAGCCATATTAATAGGGCTAGTGACATTATTTTTCTGTCAAATTCACATTTCAAAAAAAAAAATTTAAATGATTTAAAAAATTTTGAATTTGACAGATACCTAATGCACTTACCTAGCCAATTTTTATAAGGAATACTTTAAGTTTTTAAAAAAGCAGAGTTGAATGTCCTACGACGCTTTTTCCAATCGGTAAAATATCCCCATATGCGTTCAAATTTATGGAACACACTGTATATAATGGTGAGAAAGGTTTTCCGGGTTTTCATTACCTGTAAGTAAAATTGCACATCAATTATCTGTAAGGTGCCCTTGAGCTCTTCTAATAATAATATGTCCCTTCTTCGCAAAAGCTGAATTCTACGCTCTACCAGTTCTGTACTTTAATCTGAGACAGTGTAAAGGTACCATTTGGGCGACATGCGTAACATGATAGCTTAAGGCGAACAAAAATGGTCTCTTCACTTCTGAACACATGTAATTTTATAAACAACATTTTGGACTGCGAGTTCGATTAAAGAGAGGCGACAGCACTTTTAACACGGCAGCATTTTCTGCTTGCTGCCTGTCGCCTGTCGTCTTATTCGGTCTCGCCTTCCCAAATGTTACCTTTATAGTTTTAGTATAGACGGAACACCGGTTCTACCTTACATACCGGAGGATATTAGGGGTTTTAAATTATACCAAATACGTAAATTTGAGTAGTTGCGCAGTTTATGTTACATCATGCTTTATCCTACGTGTCTCTAGACATACCTAAAACGCTATCATAAGCAAAACGAGGTATACCGAATCTGGGAACGGTAAAGATCAATGCTTGATTTGATTATTATTTGTCAATTTATAACTACTATTATAACGCTCATTTTGAAACGGCCCCATTCTAGGGTATCTAACGTATATAACGATGGTATCTAACGATGGTATCTAACGTCAATGGTGACTAGATTTAAAGATTTATTTCGGATTGTCCAGAGATTAGAGCACAAATCAAAGTATGTGGATTAGAGACATAACGATAATAAACGAAACGACCGTAGCTACGATAGCGTTATCTATGCGTCTCAAATGTTAACTAAAGGTACAAGTCGTTTGTAGACAAACAGTAGATGTGGACAGTTTGTAAATATAAATGTCAATTAGTTTTATGTATATCGTACAATCCTGAATTTGAATTTTAAATTTGAGTTCATGATTGTGCTATCCTCTAGTTGAACTAAGCGAAATGGTTGTGGTTGATTTTGTGTGAAATTTAAGGACAATAATTATATTATGTTGGTGCCCGTAATGCATTAGTAACACATTAGTAACACATTAGTAACACATTAGTAACACATTAGTAACACATTAGTAACACATTAGTAACACATTAGTAACACATTAGTAACACATAAGTAACACATTAGTAACACATTAGTAACACATTAGGAACACATGAATAAATTTAACACCCCCAACGTGGGTATGTATTGTATGTATTAAATAGTACAGATTAGTTAAGGGAAAGATGATCAGATTCAAATAGAAGTGCAGAAAGATCAGAAGACAAAAGAGTAAAAAAGAAAAGGGTATAAAGGAAATGTTGCAGATGTTAATGGTGGAAATCAGAGAAAGTAAACAAGAAATAAGAGAAGAGATGGAGAAAAATAAACAAGAAATATTAAAAGAAAATAAACAAAAGGTAAAGAAATTTTATTTAAATTGAAAATAAGAGGTATAACAAGAAGATTAAAAAAAATCAGGGCCACGAGAACAGGAGACGGACAAGCAGAAATTAGAGTAACCAGAGACAAGATTTTGAGTAGCAAGACAGAAATTGAAATAAAACGTAGGAGAAATTGAAAGACAAAGCAGGAGTTAGAGGATAGAAGGTAGGAGAGCAGGAGATAGAGACAAAGAAGGAGTTACAGCAGGAGTTTCAGCAGGATGTACAGCAAGAGATAGACCAGGACTTGTAGAAGGGTAGGAGCAAGAGACAGTTGGACTGGTAGAAAGAAGAGGTAGAAGCGAAGTGGAAGATTTTTTATTTTGAATTAAAATTTTTTTATTTAGGCATTAATTTTATTTTTAAATTATTGTAGGAAGCCACTAAAGCCATATCCTTAAGTTCTCCTAGAATATTGTGATAGGTCTGCCTTTTACAGGGTGAAACCATTACAGTATAATGATTTTAGAGTTATTCAGCAAGAAATTCTTACAAAGCGTAAGTAATTTATTCTAACCTTTCGAACATGAGTATGTATCTTCAGAGAATCTACAGTACAAATTAATTTTAACAAAAGTTATATGTTGACAATATTAAAACATTTACTTACAACTCAATGAGGTTGATTGTGTACATATGATGGAAAATGATTAAAATTATGGAACATCACACTATAAAAACGAAACAATTGTTAAAAACTATCCTATTGTACAAAGCGTTTTTTTAACTTGATACGTAGAAGCTTGGTAAAATTTTTAAGGAAACGACGACATCTAACAGTTGAAAATAAAATACGTGGGTTCAAACTTCATAGGTCATATGTCCATCATCCGTCAATCGAACAGTAGGAAAAAGAAAAACTATCAATGGCCTGTCACCTAAGCACTAATAGTTTCACTTTAGCCCACTTCTCGATTGTCATATATTTTTTCTAAGCCACCTTGATAGAATGGTGTCTAATATGTCAGGCGGCTTTGGAAAAAGGATTAGGTACAGTTGATTATAAGAGTATCAGTTCATTTTTAATATGGAATAAACCAAAAAATACACCCATAAAAATAATAACAAATGAATAAACTTTATCAGAAAATTTCGACATTCTTACAACTTAATGTTTTAGATGAAGATTCATAGAAAAATATCTTCTCCAAACCTTTAATAAATAATCATAATGTACACACTTTAGAAAAGGGAAAGAAAGGGACTTTCAGATGATATGAAATAATTTTTTAATTAAAAAATCGATTTCAAAATCGTGCAGATGCCTTTAATAATTGGGATTTTTAATTTTCTCATAGTTCATTAAATCCTGACCAATTTTATATGGAACTACCTCTGAGGTATCTTCTTCTTAAGAAAAAAAGAATCATAGAAATCGGACAAGGTGGTAAAGAATTATCGCTAAACATACATACAAAATGAAGAATTTGAGGATTTTTTCATGGACCCAATTATTAGATTTTGACCAAATTAATATTGGACCACCACCGTAAGTACTCCCTTTCTAACAAAAAAAGAATCATTAAAATCGGACAATGTGTTAAAGAATTATCGCTGAACATACATAAAAAAATAATATTACGACGAATTGAGAACCTCTTCTTTTTTTGAAGTCGGTTAAAAATATAGGGTATATTTAAAGTAAACCAATAATTTTTCTTAGAAAAAGGCAAATTTTTTTCCAGCAGTATCAGGAAAAAATACACATTTGGCAACTATGTCAAAAACAACTTGAAGAAAATGTAAGAAGTTTAGCGGCTCGTCGATATCTTCTTCCATTTTCAGTTATAAGCTTTATAGTTGTACACCCTACCCTGCATTTTATTATTTGCCATTTATTTTTATCTCGACTACCATTTTCTTCAAGAAGCTTTAAATTGATTTATTACGATTTTGTTTTAGCATCTGCATTATGCAAAGAACTAATATAAGAAAAAACATTGTAGACAATAAAAATGATCGCCTTCATGAAATAATGTTGAGAGAAATCTCTGGCAGAAAGAAGACAACTTTTAGAAGAAGGAAAATACAAGTCTGATGCAGAAGAAGAAAAAGTTCCAACTTTAAGAAAAAATATTGCAAAGGGAAGAGAAAAATATTGCAAATGGAAAAGAAAAAATTTGAGATATAAAAAAAAAGACACTTAAATATGTTTGAAAATCAATAAAATCTAAATAAAATTAGAGAAGAATACAAACTGATATTTTGATGTATTATTATTTGTTTTTTTTATATTTTCTAATATTAAGCAGAATTAAAAAAATTGTTTTTAATTAGAAATTAAGATTAATATTTTTGTTTTTATCATAAATATACAATAGACATTTTATAAAGTAGAGGTTCTACAAATATATCCATAGAGTAATCAGAAACATGTTTATTGAGAAAGTCATGACAAAGAAAAATAGATTATGAATAGTAAGTTTGTACCGGTTAAACAGGAACAATGAAAATGATCCTTTGTATTTCATGTAAATAATTTTAATAGCCTAGCTTAGAGCTTTTGGCTTTTGTCACCTTCAGTGCTAATTGTCTGTGATACACAAGAAACTTTATGACCTGATATATTTTTAGAAAACATTCCCTTCTAAATATAATAATATTATTAATAAATAATGTTACGCAGGTTTTTGGTATCACTATTTTAATTCAACTTTTACAATAACTACAATTCAACTTTAACAATAACTATCCAACTGATAACATGAACGTATAACGTCTATCATAAAACTGAACTCTGACGTGAGGACGTCGACTTATATAGCTTGCCTCAACCTTCTAGAATCTTCTCGAACGATCCGGATTTTTTTTAGACAAGGAATGACATTTCGAGCCATATCTAAACTATTCTATCTTCTTCATTTACTCAAAGATACAAGGTACTTATGACGACCGCAGCACGCTGCAGGGTGCTGCGTAACAATACTCTCCCTGATTCATCTCCTTACGAGTAAATTTTAACCATAAAAGCTAAGCTTATCCAGGGAAGGGACGGTTATTATTATTATTTTCCGTGGCGCACCAGGACGGCATAAAGATGGTCGATGGTGCTATTTGACCAGCTAAGAAGAAAAATGGACGACAAGCAAGAGTTAGTTCGTTCGCATCTTCAAATCGCCAGTGACAGAATGAAGAAGCGATACGGTACCCAAGCCACAGAAAGATGTTTTAAGGAAGGCTCGATGACCCAAAAAGACAGAAAGGCTATTCTCCAAAGCTCCATAGATCTTGGGCAGGTCCGTACCTCATTAAGAAATAAATGTGTGATATCATTTACCATATAAAAACAAGGATGAAGAGGTAAACCAGCTCCCAAAAACATCTGACCTTTGAAGAATTTATGGATGCATATGGAGGTAGCGAAAAAGCAAGATATGGTGGTATAACCGAGCAACAACAAAGTCTGTTCATGGTTCCTAGAGATTATTCTATGGTACATAGCACTTCCGGCAGCATCAGTGACGCTAGAGGTCTGGCATATGTGTTCCGAAACAAGTTCGGTCGATTGCCAGCATTTCAAGGTCAGTTATCAACCCCTGAAAAAGCCTTAAAACTTTAAGATGGATCGCGCTACCTTTTCTATTTGATAAGAAAGAACACCTTTTAAGATCCATCCACTTATTATGATATATGGGAAGCATTACTTATTTTGAGGAAGCACGCACAGAACACTATATAGAGATTGAGTGGAACCAGCTGGATTGAAGGATCATTAGAACCATGATGGAAATGTTCTTCCAAAATACCGTATTCCAAATATTGGTCTGCCTAACCATTTTGAATATTTGCTTTCAATTCTACACATCCAAATTGGAGTAATCTATTCTTACGTATCTTGTCAATATCAACTGTTAGTTCTGTATATTTACTACCTATTTTTATTTTTTCAATATTCCTTATGACTGGACTGGACTTTGTTTTTCTTCAAGTTGTATACATATATCACATTTTAATATGGACAATTTTTTCACTTATTACATAGTTGTATTTAACTGAAACATAATCATAGAAGTTATGAACATTTCCGCAATAACTTGTCCAAACTCAATAAAATAAAAATGGAAATTTTGCTATACCAATTTAAAAATGAAGTTATTATACGAGACATTCTGTATAAGCACAAGCTGGTTATCGATATTTTTTCCAGTCGTACACAATAATATGTAAAGGCATAATGTCATTCATCGTGCTAAAGGCATACCTTACTCATGTACATACGACCATGTAATCTGGTTGTGATTATTTTAAAGAATGCCTTCATTATCACATAATGTTATAAGGAATTCCGATTTAAATGCTGGGACAGGACAGAACAAGCCACTTTGAAGTTATCTATGTTTTCTCTTTTCGCTTGGATGCTATAGAGACATTTATTGGAATGGTGAATTTACTGCGGACGTTTAGAAAAATTTAGATTAAGTTAATCAGAGAAAGTGTTGTAATTTTCAGTGAATAAAGACTAATACCCACTAAAATATTTGTTCATTAGTTGTATTTGTTGGTGATACATTAAAACTGTATCTTACTGTGAACATTCGATTTGAACAGAGCTTATTGCAAGCTTAATTAGCAATTGTTTCCATTGTGGTAGGCTCAATAAACGCTTTTTTTATTTAAATAAAACACAAATATAATAGTTTATAAATTATAATTTAGTCATAATAAAATTGTAACCCTCCGTAAGGGTAGTTACGTTTCACCGGGTAGGATTGTACAATCAGAGACAGGATTAGAACATAAAATAAAGTTTTATTTTATAAATACTATATACATAATACTATGTACAAAATGTATAACCCCTGGTCCTAAATAAATCTTCCTAAGGTTTTGCTTAGATGATCCGGGCGGAGCTCGCTATATTTCGGTGGTCGTTGGCTGCATGGATGCTTTTTCGTAAACCAATGTGCTACGATGAGACGGTCGAGCAGTCGATGGGTGCAGGGTCAGGTCTGGTATAGGCGGTAGTCGGATTTTTGGACGCCCGTTCAAGTCAGTACCTTGAACGGATCGAAGTATCCCTAAGTTAATACCTTAGGAATGGGAGATACAGTAAAGTATGAAAGTCAGTACCTTTTGAATCGGGTAGGTTGTGTCCAACAAGTCAATACCCTGGCGAGTGGGGAGAAAGATTATCGACAAGTTAGTACCTTGCCGATGAGTCAAGAAGCCTCTGGAGTCTTCCGTGTTGGGCTTTTCGGTCGACTTTATATATCCACCAGGTCTCTGTAAAAACTCTGCTTGTTGGAACTATGGGCGTATCATTATCGGTGTTCGCCGGGACATAGTGACACCCCTCTCTCATCGGGAAAAAAAAATTGGAACAAATATTTTTTTTTGGACTGGTAAGTGACTTTGCCTGGATCCTTAAAAAAACAAGAAAACTCCAATTTCTGATATGCGTCTGGTAAAAATTTGTTCCCCCTAAAAAAAAAGAATTTCTTCTCTTTTCTTCTTATTTCTCTCTGCCTGTGGAAATTTTTCACCTGTTCCGTATCACACGTCCATTTCGTATTTTTTTCTTTTGTGCCTTTGTGGTACTAGCTTCTCGAGCGGAACAGAAATTTTTAGCGATTGCGATGGTTTGCTTATTTTGACGATGCCTAGACTGGCGGTTGGCGAGTCGTCGAACAGTTCTATAAATTCTGTTAGTAGGTTGACCATCTGTTCGCAGCCTTTCTTTGGCGTTGGTGGAAATTGGCAGCGGTGATATGGATTAAATACATGTAAGGATATCGGTAGTTGATAATTCAGGCAGGTGCTCTGGCGTATTCTCGCCGAGAGGGCTCATTTCTTTATGGATGAGCAGTGTATCATCTTCGTAATACATTTTGCTTGTAGTTGTATTGACGAATGCTGTGATTTTCAACACACACACACACACACCTTGCTTAAGCCCAAGTCGGGTAGGTTCTCATCCTGTTTTACTGGATCGAAACCCTCCTGATCCCTCCTGACCCCTCCTGACCCCTCCTGACCCCTCCTGACCCCTCCTGACCCCTCCTGACCCCTTTTGACCCCTCCTGATCCCTCCTACCTCCCCCCCGACATCTTCAGGGGGCTTATAGTTAAATTCATTTGATTAGTATGCCGGTCCTTCTTAAAGGGCTGTGCTGTGAAGGATGACATATTATCGTCATTTAGACAGGGCATTTCCCTGTTTCGTCGTCCGTTTGTTTGTCTTGTGTGTGCTCATTCTGTGAGAATTCGCCACCTGTGAAAGCTCTCCCAGTCTCCAGTGGTGACTAGGAGGACCTTCTACTCCAGGTGGGTTGTCTTCAGTGGCCCAGTACTTGTCTGAATGACATGTTGTATTCTGTTAGCGTATTCTGAAAGAGAATGCTGAAAAAAAAATGCTGAAAGATCTCGCAGTTCCATGTTTGGATGTATCCTTAATTTTTCGAAGGTGTCAGTGTTCTTCTTGTAAATAAGGTCTAGGACCCTTTTGGATTCTAAATCCCTCATAATCACGTCATTTCTTATATATCTATAGACCTTTGAGGCCTATCTCAGGCTGATGTTCTGTTGTGTTTGTATCCTCTTCCTGTTTGTCTTACAGGTGTATCCCCACTTCGTCGAGGCGACCATCAGTATAGGCATTATTACTGCCTGAATGAGCTTAATTTTTGTCTTTAGTAGGAGTTTGAGTCAGTCCATGGAATGTCATGTCCATTCATCGTTATTTCTTCTCAGGGTGGGTGATGTCTCTTCTTAAACATCACAACCTGTGTCTTCTCCGCGTTGATCTTGATCTTCCATCTTATGCACCATTCTTCTGTGTTTCCGCTGCGTCTTGTAGTTATCTTGATATAAGTCCTGACTGTGTGCTTGTTGCCGATATTGCTGTGTCGTCCGCGTAATGATTTTCAGCTTTCGATTGTCGACTAAATTGGCTTTAGAAGGGGGTGACTGAAGAGTTGAGGCTTATCTAGACGGGATTGGATGGGGAGTTTCTATGGAGGGGATATGTCGTCATGTGCTGGTTTTAGGTCTTTTATGTGAGCTTTGATGGTTCGATTATTGTGTGTGTTTCGTAAATGAAAAATTACCATAGTCTCAAGTATTTCGGTGCTAGTTTGGCATTAAAACTTTTTGCTGCGTTGGATAGATTGTATTCTTTTTTCATTACTTTATTATTCAGTCTGGATCTCCATTCTATGTGTCTTAAAATAGTAATGTCTTTGAGTTGTGAATGTTTTTGCGAGGTTTACTTTTGCAAGCTGGAACGTCTCTCTTAATTTGTACCATTTATCTGTTCTTTTTAGTAGGTGTACTGGGCAGTAACGGCTCTTGACCAAAATTTTGGGGGTTCTCAGTAACAGAATATAGATATCAGTACATATGTATGAAAAAAATTTTAATGTTTTGGAAAGTTAATAATATTCCTTTTTAAAATACTGATAGTTTTTTACCTACATCTGTATCGAGATCTATATTCTGCTACTGTGAACCACCAAAATGTTGGTCACGAGCCGCCTCTGGTACCGTTTATATGTTCTCTAGAACTTTACTGGGAAAATGTAATTCATGGTCAAAATTTAGAAAAGCTGGCGAAAAACCTGTTGAGTCGGGTTTAGCTGAGTTGTATGCAAATACTAAGTCTGGTAAGTTTGCGTACCATTTTTGGTGATTGTTGTCGCATAACTGAGCTATCATTGTTTTTATTACTCTGCTCATACGTTTCACTGAGTTGTTTTGAGGAGAATAAGGCGGAATGTCTCTCTTTGATATTTGGTATTCTGATAGTACCTCTCCTAGTTTTTTATTTTTGTATGTTTTAGCGTTGTCTGATACTACTTCTTTTTGGCAGCCGAACTTTATTACGATTTTGTCTTTTAAGTTTTGACATATGGTATTTGCTGTTGTTCTTCTAACTCGGATGGCTTCTATTTCGAGAAAACCAAAATATAATTATTTTCTTCGTAGCGGTCCTATGATGTCTGTGGAGACTGTGTGGGGGAATGTTCGAATGTTCGTCCATAAGTCCTGGAGTTTTGTAACACTGGCAGTTTATAAGATAAATATGCCACTAGTATAAAGTGGATAAACATTATTACTTCAGAAATATACTGACAATTTTTGTGTAGAGTGTGGATGTGGATGAATATGGGTGGATATGGAATGGAATAATTTGGATGAAGTGAGAGCAAAAACTCTTCACCCACATAAACATTAGCTTATCTATAGTTGAATACCGAAATAATAGACAATAATTATTTAATTTAAAGACAAGAATGTATGAAGAATGCTGACAGAAATGCCATATGTGCAATTGCAATATATGTCCACCACTGAAAAAAAAACCCTTGTCCCGTAATATTTTTTTCAAATTTTGGAGCAATGACAAATGACAGATTTCTTCACACATTAAATTACTGTCTATTATATTGGTATTCAACTACGCCCAGATTACAAAACGAGAAAGTATGCCATTGCGTTCAA